CACGCCCCCGCAGTGAACACTCGATACGTGTAATCGCGTGTTCCCACTTCAAAGACCTCACTTGTAAATGAAATTGTCAATGAGCTTTAAATGTTTGTATGGAATTGTAATATCTTTTGACTGACTTGTAATAGAGTAATGTTTGAGGCAGTCTGTATGCATGTGTTGATTATTCTTTTCCTACAGTTGGTCTAAACGGTTGGAATCTATACTCACTTGAAAATATAATGTCTTCAGTACCAATGTACAGTGTAATAATAACTAGTTTAAGGTGAAGGTTTTGTTAAAATACTCGATCTATGCGATATTGAATATTCTATACTGGTACTTTCTAAATTGTTACTCTAGGATTTGATTATTACTTAATTTTTATAAATCTGATTAACAATCGGCATAATTTCCTTCAACCTTTTCCATTCGTTTCCAATTCGTGCCACCCTACTCTATAATTCTACAACCTGTCCGGTATCATCAATACAAGTTTGTAATGATATTTTCTTTGCTTCTAGTAAGTTATCTAGAGTATCTCATGATTTAAATTAATTTGTTACCTTCCTAATACGAGGTTGTGGCAAAGCATGATAAATTACAACAGTACTCTGTGCAGTAATTTGTCTATAAAAAATAGCGTATCTGAGATCGAAGCGTTTTAATCAGTCTCTATGTATCACGTCTAATCGACTGGACGACGAGATTAACAAATGACGCTTAAATTTAACCTTTTTTCGGGCGAACTAATGGTCCGATAATAATTGTTACCGGATTTTTTAAGCACACTGCAATTTATATAAAGCTTTTGGCTTTGAATAAATTATACGAGATGCTAAGAGCTAGGGTGTTTGTACGGGTAATTAGATGGCTCCATGGATGGATTAGATTGCTTAAGTCAGAATCTAGCAACATATTGCTTTGATAGTCTTTGTCCTCGTTTGTAAGGATAGTAGAGTTACTTATTGTATTTAAAAATTGTGTGAGTAGTTTCATGGACGCATTCCATCCATACGAGTAAGTAATCTCACAGAAAACCTTTTGGAATAACTTTTAAGTTAAAAAAACTTACCGTATATTTTTTTATAGTTTCTGATGTTTTAACTAAGTAGTCACTTTTGTCGAAACATTGATTATTCTACGTTTTTTTAGCTATGTGGTAGAATACATATATATCACATGCGTACATATATACGCACTCACTCACACTCAAATACCCAAACACATGTATTTGATCACATATGTACCTAGACTAAGAGAAGGCACTGCCTCCTGTAATACAGGTCCCCACCTAGCTCAGGAGGCAGAGCCCAATGATTATTGTTAAACTGATCGTATCAATAAAGTGTTTTTATTTTTTTTATTTTATTTTTTAATACATTTTTTATTTAAGAATGTCTTTTATACAACCATTACTTTCATAGAGTTGATTTCGTACACCCCTTCCCCGAGTCAATGGAATGCTACTGGAAGATCAAAGGAAATTTTAAATGCAGTGTTGAAATTAAAAGCAGGAAATATCAACTTCAACAAAGTCAGTTATTTAATATGTTTTTAGTTTTTTTTATAATATCTATACTAACATACTTTTCTTGTATACAAAGAGTGTAGACTAGTTTGTCTTTTTTGTAAAGGTATTTCAATAATTTCACTTTTAACTTTAAGCAAGTAAAGATAAGGTAAATGTGCCGTTGACCTCAATCTAGTTTTCACACCCTTAACAAAGGGAGCGTAAAAATTTACACTTCATTAAACATCCATAGAAATTTGTCCTGTTTTATGAGTTAACATAACATCTAATTTTAGTATACTTTGTTAGTAAATAAGCTCTTATACTATAACAGCTTTAACAAGATTCGGAGACGCAGTATCTTTCTAAAATTACCATTCGCATTATTGACAACCCTATTTATTAAAGTCGTACGAGGATAAAGAAAGGTTGTGGATATGTTAGGGTTGTCGAAATAAAAATCAACGGCCATTATAAGCATGGCGAAGGGCGAGATGTAACGAGAGATTAATTTATCTTAATAGCAACTATTGGAAGACTTTAACGAGTAAAAACGGATGTTGACATATAAGAAATAAGACGATTAATTTCGCAATTTATTTAATTTTGAATATAATATAGTAATAGGTATTTATTTACAACAAGTGATACGCCATAAATATAAATAAAATACATAAAATGTTTACAACTCATATTTTATAAACTAATGTAAATATATAAAGCTATGTATGGATAGGTATTCAATGGTTACATAACTTACTGTAAATTATAAGTATAAAAGTATTCAATACATAAAACATAAGCAATATATAACTCTTTTCATCGTTTATACGGCAGTGAATTACTTCATATTTTCTACGCAAACGTGACAATATAATGTTTTATTATTATATAATAATTATAACTAGAATTAACTATATTTTATATACTATATATTCTTTGGTATACAACGGGATATTTTTTCATGTAATAAAATCAGTACAACCTAATATGTGTGATCATAAGTACATAAGTAAATTATTAATTATTTAACAGATTATTAATATACAGAGAAAGTAAGAAACAAAATATTAATGGGTAATATTTATTAAAGAAATAACTGATAAAATTACTTGAAATATTTCCATATTTACTGTTTCTTACAAGGGTATTGTATTTTAATATTGATAATAATCAAATTCTGTATTTAATTATGATGTAAAGGAAACATGGTGTGTTCTAACACTGTCTCTATATATTTAATAATCTGTTTTTATTTATAAAATACAAAGCGTGTATGTAAATATGAACACATAAGTTATATGTTTATATTGCTGTATTTTAAATCTTATATATTTCGTATATTATAAGCTTATGTGCATGATGGTATACTTTAAAATAATGCGAGTAAAAGAGTTAAGGAAGATACAAATAAATGTAAAAATAGAAAGATAATTAACATTATTTATAGAATAATTTTATGCCCTAACAATTGCAGCAGACAAACCAATGGTGTGGTTTTTGCTTTATTTATCTATTATTGTTATGTATATGTAAATTGTGTTTTTTTTTAATTTAAAAAAAATAATTAAAAACACTTCGTTGTCTTTTATTTTCTAACAGAACAAGTGAGGTGACAATGTTAAGTTTTTGTTCAAAGCATTGCCTATCAATAATAATAAAAATCTATCCTGTGAGTGCTTTAATTGGCCTCTTTATGACGTCACTGTAATCTGCAAAGGAATTAGTTCCATTTTTTTCCGCAATGGCGTCAGGGTCCTTTGTAAATCTATAATTGTGGGCAAAATGATGCAAAGGGACGGTAAAATGTTACAAAAGTAACTATAATATCAAATAAAAGATAATTTCTCAAAAATTATGAGCAAATATTTTTTGTTCGGAGTTTTGAATATTGGCGTTTCTTACCTGTATTATATATATTTGGCACGCTTTATTATTATTATTATATGTTATTTAAATATTGTTTTATATTCTACATATTTCAACATTTATAGATAAGTTTTATTTAAATACATTAATCAGATTCAACGCGAAACAAAAGCTTTGTTTTATAAAGCTTAATTAACAATAATTACTATAACCTATATATGCAAAAAAAGGTAAAAGATAAAAGAAAAGAAAAGAAAAATTGTTGAATCAATTTACTAAAAGTATCACATAGATTACAAAACATCTCGAAACATATTCAGACTTTTACAGAATAAATTTAAGGCCTTGCACAGATTAACTAACAGACAAATCAAATTTTCAAACGGCTAACATCAACGTATTTTTTGAGCAAAAATTTGCAATAATTGAAACATGAATCAAACTGTTTTTTTGTCATACTAAGACATATTTATTGTACGCATACCATTCTCACTATATGAATAGAAAAATTAATCTCGGAAGCTCTATTTATAAACAACCATTTTAATTAGACCTCTCCTAAGTGAGGAACAAATAGATTTTGTTTTATTAAAGGTCTGTTTAATTTGGTTATTTTCTCTGAGTTAACAATAATTTTCGTTTGATATGTTTAATGTACTATAAGTTAGCGATCTCTAATTTGATCATAAGAATGTGTATTTCAACAACCAACTGTAAATCTATGCAATTTCTTACAAACCAACTATTTACAATACGACACTGGATATTGGTAACATAATAATTATATCTAAAATCGAGATTACATTTAGGCCTACACAAATATCAATTGTTCCAATACAAAACGAAGGAAAAAAAATATTTTGACATTTTATTCGATCGCAAGAAACGGAACAGCCTGTATGTAGGCTTTAGTAACATGAAACAAAAATATACAATTAACATCTACCAACATAACAACCACAATTTTACTATTCAATAGTAAAAATTAATCTAATTTAAATACAAAAATCATAAATAAATATAACCGTAGAGACGTGGAAATTAATAATACAAAATTTTACAAGAAACATACTTAATACCTATAGATTCGAGAATTGTATAGTCTTAAAAGCATACGAATACACGAGTAAATACGCTTTCCATTGCGTGTTTATTTTAATAACCGTTTGTAGGTTACTATATTAATAACGCAATGTAGTATGTTTGCAAAAACACATTAAACATTCACTATTTATAATTAAAATTCGGAAGACAAAAATTAGTCAACCGAATACGTCAATTTTAATTTTAGGCCTTTACAAATGGATACATTATGGATATATTCATTTTAGATAATTTTAATCCACTAGTATAGAAAGGGAACTTTTAGTAAATAGGAATGGCATTCAAAATTGAACCTTATGCGTTTATTAATAGAATTCACGTTCGGAAAGACCTATGTCTAAATTGTTGACATTTTATTATAGCCTCAATTAAGGAAATGTCATGAAGACAAAGTTTGACTTCTATTAGATTTGACATCCAAAAGTCATTTTCTTATTAATTTTTTATTTCTTGTTGAAATTAGCATTTAACATGAAATTTGAAAATTATTACTAATTAATTCTAATATCCATTCTACTAATAACAATAAATAAAAATTGTTTACCCAATTGAATCTTTCATATAAAATGCAAATACAAAAGTTTTCATATGAAAATATTTTCAAATCCATCATTCAATCTCACAGTAACCTGTGCGTGGGAAAAAGAAAATGGATGTAAAAATAACTTACAAAAATCTATGGAAAACCTTTTCGCTTTCACAATTCTTCTGTTGAAGCGATTGGTGCTTTTAGTAGAGGAGTTCTTGGGCTTCTAGCACCATCTGTTCTGGACGCTTGGAAATCTTCATTGGACAACGAAGCTGGTATTGGAGCGATCTTTAACTGGTGACCATTTAACTTGATCTCTGTAATAGAATGGGACCTTCCGTGGTTCAAATTGAGTTTCTCTTTATTAGCATCATGTGTTGGTGTTTTGGTTAGAGAGTGCGTCACTCTCGCGCGATTCGATTGTTCTCTTAATGCCATTTGATACGCAACTTCGAACGCCTCGCCTAGTGTTAAAATTACTTCGGTCGCTTGATCCTGAAATATATAAAATTGGTATGAATTTAACATGAAATTAGCTTTTACATATTGTGATATTTTAATGAAAGCTACATTTAGCCATATTAAATCTAAACTAATATTATAAAGAGGAAAGATTTGTATTTCCGTATGTATTGAAATAACCTAAAAACTACTGAGCCGATTTTAAAATTTCTTTCGCCATTAAAAAGCTATGTTATCACTGAGAAACATAGGCTATAATTTTTAACATCATGTGGACAAAGTAACGAGCAACAGTTAATAATGTTATAAAGGTAACTGACCATGGTAGCGACTCTGAAGACGTGGCAATAATGGCTGCGTGTGGCGTGGTCTTTGGTGATGTAGGCGAAGTGCGTCAGATCGTCCGCGTCTTGACACGCGCAGTGGATATTACGAATCTCGTGCTCGCAGATTAACTCCTAAAACAAATAAAACAATAACTAATCATCACAAGATATGGAAACTTAACTACTATCAGTTGAATCTAACGTAAGTGGCTATGCACAGCATTTGTTTAAAGCATTGAATTTGCTGATAAGACCTTTTTTAATGGACTGTAAAAAAGATAAATAGAACAACAAATAGTTTTTATCTATATACTCTTCAAATCTTTTAGATTTAAATAGAGATAAAAGAAAGTAAATAAGAACCACATTTTGATTACAAAAATTATGCATTCAAAAGAAAATACAATAATATTGTTAATGTAAAAATGGAAAGACAAGATCTAAAAGATGATATTTTACAAAATATCCCCGTTCATCCTGTGTAACCATGTAACTAATCGTGAAGTGACCTTACATCGAAGCCATCCATAAAAATAACAAAAATACAATTTTTTATCTACAAGAAATACAAAGGCAAGATTCGAGGTCCGGTGAAGTGTGAAGAGTGATCCATAATTAAAAATCAAGCGGGCAACGTCGGGGCTTTTGTTTAGTGGACCCTCTCTGGGACCCGAAGGTGGGGTTTGCCCTCCGTGCGCTTGGTTGCATCTCAAAGAGGACAGCCTTTTATGGGAAGAGTTTCGAAGTAAATAACTGGTGATACTTGGAGGGTCAACGCAGATAGAAAACTACAAAATTCGCCTTTTATTTTTAACAAGCACGTTGAAGCCTTTGTACGATTTGAAGTAAGGAAAAATTATTATGCGTTGCTCTGTCTAGTATTAAAAAAACAACATATCTCAAAACAACTGCAATTTTACGGACAAACTTACCCTTGTGATAGTGTTTAAGAATTTTACGCCTCTGTAGCTTATCGACAGTATGATGTCTGGGGAATCCCGAGGCTCTTTAGTAGTCTTCTTGAGTTTTTGTATCGACTTCTTTGTTGATTCAGTACCACGAAGTTCCTTCACTACAGTTGATCCCAGATACTAGATTAAAAAAAAATTGAATTGTACTTAAATACATGAAGAATGGAAAAAACAAAAGAAGGAATACAACTGAAAAACACCTCACTAGTCAAAATTGATTACTTTCTGTTACAAAAGAATTTATATAAAAATCCGCAAATCTAAATTTAATACTCACATTAGCTACATAAGTAACAGCTCCTGTGACCAATACAAATGGCTGATGTTTCCACTGCGTTTTCAGCGCTCCCGGAACACCAACTAGCAGTTCCGACGGCGCTCGGATCTCCAGATCCGACGGTCTAGGCGGCTGAGGCGCGGGCCTGTTCTTCTTGCTACGCTTCAACGTCTCCCCGCCAGGAGGCGCTAGGCTAGGAACTACAGGAGGCGGCACAGGTTTCAAATTTTCCGAAGGCAATTTCTCTTTAATTTCTTCTTTAAGTTGCTGTATATTACTTTTCTGTGGACAAAGAATATTTTTGAGTACATTGCGATAGTAAATATTAAATAAATGTATTATTTTGTTACCCTAACCAGTAACATCAATTGTAAAGCATTAATTAAAATACGTCAAAAATTTAACGAGTAAATTGCCCTTCTGACAGTAGATAAGGAGATAATTAGTAAACGAGTTGAAAAACAAAACGGGAAAAGTGTGAACAAAAACTAAATAGACACCTGGAAAAAGTGGTAGCAACTAATTGTGACAGTGTTCGACGGAGCTTATGATAATAGAAGAGTCGGCAAGCGTGACAGTTCACACTTCACAAGTGTAAAACAAAAGTAATGATGCACAAACAAAAAACGCGGCGAACACGCAACCGTGAAATTTTAATTAAGGCTCTAAAGAATAAAAGGGACAAGAGCAATATAATTGACATCGTGAACCATCTAATTTGTTGCGAGTGTCATTTGCTGGTAATAAAAAGTAGAAAAGGCAACAGACGTATTCAGGCTTTGGTGAATGGAATAATGTTACGTTGCGATGGATTTGAATGGTGAAGGGTGGGAACGACCCCAGCGCTAGTTCGGATCGCAAACTACATTTCGTATATCTCTCAAATAGGGTTCGGAGACGATTCACTTATCTGAATAACGTGAATGTACATTAGTAGGAATCAATTGCTAGATGGACGAAATTCTAGAAAATAGGTAAACTATGAAAAATTTGGTTTCAGGACATAATTCTTACAGATGAAAAGTCATTGCTTGCATTTACGTGATACTTAATTTAACAACCAAACTCACTGTTATCTTAACTTGTTATAAGGCTGTGAAAAATTTGGTTATATTATTGAAAGTTATGTAAATTTTAACTAAAGAGAGGCAATCACGAGATTGCAAAAAATAATCATCTAATATTTCTAACACAAAACCGAACCGTACGCGCCAAAGCTTTCAAATCACGCGAACATAGATTTTCGTTTGGCATTTTCCATTTGGGAGATTGTAAAAAAAATCCTAGAAATATTTTTGCCTATTAACATATTTATAGCGAATGCTTGATGTGGGGGGTTAAAGAGGGTGAGGGGTTGTAGGGGGAGGGGGTAGGTGCAGTTTTAGTGGCGTTTCGTGCCCGTATCCTACGGCGCGTGGTTAGAGAGTGCCTCACTCCTCGTATGAATGGCGAGCGCTGAATAGGTCGGCGGATTGAGCACTAATTACCTATACGTGTTTGGCGACGTGTGAAATTAAAAAAAAAGACTCCGCCCGCTCCGTGCCTACATGCACTCACAATTACTTGTGCATTTGAGTTCATGTACTGGTTATTTAATTAGTTATTTATCACGGTTTCACTGCTCTGTAATTAATATTTAATTCATAAACTACTGCGGTGGTACAGTCAGCTGTATCAATATGTAAACATTTACAAAACTTGTAGAAGCGTTTGGCGTCAAAAATGTATGACATGAAATATCCGTCAATAACATATTCACGATCCTAGTCAATGCAGACACACGCATACATATTTCTAAAACCGACACTTGGTAAATGCAGACATATTTATGCAGCTGACTGTACAAAAGTATAGGTACTCTTTACTTTGAAATTTTCGCAACTTTAAAGCTCCAATCTCGTAAAGTATTAAATACATACGAAATAAAAAAAGTTGTAGAAAATATCGTCAGCTTTAGAGTGATCACTAAAAGGCTCCAACACCGATAACTGTAATTATTAAATACCCCCTAAATTGTGGCGTCAACTTATCTCACTTTAGTAGCACATTATTACACCTGTGGGGGGTTGCCGGGCGACCCCCCACGCACGTGCGTCATACTAATTAACACTAAGATGAGCAATTTAATAGGGATTAGCCATTTTAATCTTGTCGCCAACTTTACCGCGGTGGAGTTATTAAAAATCTTTTTGGCTGCAACTTCACATAACGTACACTAAGAGACGCTTTAGTGGTCAATTAACATCTCTGTGTATATAATGACACTAGCTGTTCCTGTGCGACTTCATAATATAATATAATATAATTATGAAAATTTAATTTTGTTGTTTACATGTGTCAAATTATCAATTGCAAATGTCAAAATGACATAACATGATGACAAACCATGGCAACCTTGTTTCCTTGATGCTGGCAGCAACTTATGGTCTCTTTCCCACATTAGGGTTTTTATCCAAAATATTTACCCCTAAGTTAAATGGCGTGATAATATATAAAGCGTGACGTGAGTGTAGGGTTTTTTATTGAAAAAAATATATTAAAAAGTATGCTGGAATTGCTGACATCTTAAACAACAAATAAGTGTGTGTTTACGCTTTAATATAATAGTATAGATACAACTGTAGTATGACAGATCGACGCATTAAAGCCATATTGATAAAGGAAATCCTCTTTATATTAATTCAATGCCATTGATGCGCAATAAAATTGCCCCTTTACGTCCGCTAGCGTATGCACTGACAGGACGTCAAACACAATACTGGGTTTCCACCGTCAATATTCCTGTACTGTTATTTATATTTTCCAAAGAGAATAATGGACGATACGTTTTAAACATATGATTAAGCAGTACCAATAAGTAATATTAATTGTATCAAAATTGATAAAGCTTGAATTCTATATTTTTTAATTAAACCATTATCTTTAGCTGACTGGTTTTTTTTTTCAATTAATTATAAACAACTTTAGTCTATAGATTACAGCCTATGCATTTTATTTCAAATCGCTTCAACTGTTTTTAAGGTATGCGATCACATTATGTAAACAAAAACGCATTTATATCAGTAAAAAAAAATGTATTTACTATAGTTTGTAATGAAATCGTTTAGAAAGCTATCGAGACAGTATACGATGTACTCAATCAAATGTCTGTAAAAAGGATATCCTACCACGACGCGTCGAATTGAAAATTAATACGATTTGAATGAGGAAATTGTTATGATACCACTCCGACTGAGTAGCTTACATACGATGTTCGTATATGTGCTATGTTATCAAATCGAAATACGTTTGCGTTATTTAATAATACGATATGTTTTCAATGATATGTTTACAATTTTATGATAATTCTGCAATTGGACTTGTTACTATTCAAACATCGCAAAGAATAAAAAAAGGCAAAAAGGTTTTACATTAGCCTTTTTCTACATTAGTATTTCAGGTGATAAGCGAGCGTAATGCAATAATCTGATCCTAGACGTAGTTTTCTATTATAAGCACTTTTTACTGAACGCAGTGTCGTATAATTTTCACCAATAAATAGTGATAAAAATGTAGTCAAAGTCGAAAAAGCAAAATTATTATATAAAGTGTTTTAACGACACGTAGTCTACAATTTAAAAAAGTGACAAGGAACATTTTCTTCTCGAACTCTGGTCGAGCAAGTAATAAACGTCTGATGTGATCAAAGCATTACATCATTTGTACAATTGCTAGAAGTGTTTATATCTATCGAGCACATCAACATTACATCTTAATGTGATGTTATGACACTTGTAAATGTATTCAGGTCATTTGCAGCACGGATGAATAAATTGAATGCCTAGAAGTTTGTATTGAATGTGCTTGTATGGGTATTTTAATTTTAAACAAAAGTAATCTACAAACTTTAATAAATTTTCACAAACATCTATTAAAACTACTATTGTCAAAAGTACTAAATACGTTTGAATGGAGCTTTAATTATTTTTTAATATACATCTCTCTATTTCTCTAGTCTCTGTTTTACAATAGAGTATCTTAAAGTGAGGAGAGTCGGTGACTCAGTGGTTTAAGCACTTGACTTGTAATCTACAGGTCTTAGGTTCGAATCCCGCCGTACTAACGTGATTTTCGATTTTTCGAATTTTCATATGTACATAATTTACCCGACGTTCTTTCGGTGAAGGAAAACGTCGTGATGCAACCTGCACATATCGGCGAAGAAATTCAGAGATTTGTGTGAAGTCAACCAACACGCATTAGGCAGCGTGCTTTGACTTTGTCTAGTCGTAGTCACCCTAACTTAGGGTAGGCCAATCGATAGGAACAGATAGTGCAAGCTGGTGATAATGATCTAAAAGTATGGTAGAAACAAAATTTTACTTACCAATGTACTGAGATCAGCATTTATATCTTCTATATTATTGACAGGGCCATTCTGTTCACCAGAAACAGAACACAGGATCCTCTTCCGATGTCCCGCTTTCTGTATTTCCAGTACAGCCGTCAGTTCCACTTCCCAAATCCTCTTAACCCTATCCATATCTACATATAAATGTTTTCTGAACGTATCACTATATTGTTCTAAATTAATATTCCTTAACCATTCGTCTACTGTTTCGTTTTGGTGTTTACTTATATTATTATTGTTATGATTATTGCTTATTTCAGTTATCTTAAGAGGTAATTGTTTTGATGATTCTAATATCTTCTGTCTGTCGTTCTCTTCGATTCCCATTTCACGGAGGTCGTTCTCGTCGAGTATGCCGTTCTGGAAGCAAATTATTGAATTAGGCACATTGAAATTAAGGTGCACGTATTTTAATCTACTAAAAAAACTTTCTATAGATCTAAAAGCTTTTAGAAATCAACGCATCTTACATTTTAATTGGATTTCTTATACAGAATACATTTTCTCAAGTTCATGACAATATACGCATAAACAGATCTTTCATAAACTTTGACATTTGTTGCTTTAACACAAATACACTTAACAACTTGGCAAGAACTAATTATTAACACTAAAAGTATAATATAATTGTGATATAATTAATCGTTTTAGGACATCGTAAGTGGACAAACGTGTTCTGTATACGAATACTTCATAGCCAAAACAAGTAGACATAACGATTTAATTTGCCATTAAACTTCCTTAGCCTCTTCCGTTCATAGATGTGCTTATAACACCAATGTCAATTAAAACACTTCGCACGTATTATACAAGCTAATTCACTAACTAGTTTGTGACTATTTTTGCCTTGAATTTCTGTCAGTATAGTGTTAAACAAATGAATTTAGAACACTAGACTAAATAACATCAGACTACTAACTAGGTGTTGGTCGCGACTTCGTCTACGTAAAATTATAAAAAATAGCCTATCTTACTCAGCGAAATCGTAGCTTTCTAATTGTGAAAGAATTTTAGAAATCAGCAGTAGTTTTTGATTTATTTCAATTCATACAAAAATACAAATCTTTCCTCTACATTATAATAGTATAGATAACCAAACATTCTACGCATAAACTATCAAATGATTACAATTATTAAGAGAAGAGAGTTGATTTAAATTAGTAATTTAAGTATCAGAACAACGTAATACTTACAATAAATTCAATATCATCATAACCGCTCTCCAAGAAGAGTGGTTCGTAATCATGCAGGCCGAGACTGGAGAGCCAGAAGCCAAGGTTCGATGCCACTGAAGGGCTGAGACTTGACTCAGAACAGCTCAGGCCAAGGCGTGATGTGAACTCCTGCTCCAATTCTGACACGAAGACTGATTCCCGGACCAGCTTACTGCCGAACGACGCCATTATCTCGGAGATCTTCGCCCATTCCTCCTGTTGAAGAAACAAATGTATTAATTTAAGCAAATGAGCTCATTTACAACACAAAAAGACGATTTTTATTAAATAAAATCAATTGTGCAAATTTACGCATATTTTTTTTAACTCCAGCCATCCTATCTACCTAAAAGGCCTATGAACTTGTCGTGTCCCACCTGCGTTGTGGTTAGTAACGTCTCGTCAGCTTACCTGCATTTTGTATTGAAACATCTGCAGATTTTTTATGATATTTGAACACCTGCCTTACATGTACATTTTGGTTTAACATGCAAAAGTAATAACGATGTCTTTTTAATCTTTTGACTCGATGTAGAATTGAAAACTATTTATATCGAAGTTAGTTTGTCATAAAAAATAATAAGTTAAATCTATCTTTTATTTTACAATAATAACAAGTATAATCACTTTAGAAGGATCCGTAAAAACATGTCTAGTTTCCTTTATATTATTTCTAAACGAATATGTTTGATCTTACTTTTACGAAACTCGTGTTTGTTACGTCTACAAAAGCCACAACTTGTGGTTATCGTGACAATTAGCATATTTGAATATGCATTCACTTTTTGATGTCAGGGTGTCATTATCACTCTACCCTTGAATTTCGCATCGTACTAAATAGGGATGTTCTTATGTTGTAATATTAGAAATATCGATAAAAAATATAGATTGTGCTGTTAGTTTAGTAAGAAGGGAATGCAACTGTGTCAACCTTTTAGAGGTAAAGCTAGATTGAAGATATAATATTAGTTTGTTATGTCGGTTAATTTGTTTTGTTTAGTTTATTATCGAAACAGTCATTAGATAAATCACAACAATCAAACAGTGCAAGATTTAAACTGAACTTTTCTCGTGACATTACGAATAGAATATTGCGCTTGTAAATTAATCACTCTTGATATATTGTTACGATATTAATTAATATTGACTAGTTTAATTATGATTAATGCTTGGCTTTTGCTTAGCAATTAACATAGTTTTCGTTTTGATAAAAAATAATAATTTAACATTGAAATGTATAGGACATTCTAAAAGTGTATACATCGAATAGTGACGAAATGAACAAGGAAAACCGAAAGGAAACTAACAAAAACCAAGGCTTTCTTTGTTCTTGATTGATTACAAAAACGAATTCTCTAAATTAACTTCGATATTACGTAGAATTGCAAAACAAAACTTACAACAAAAAGTAACTAAAGCCTTCTGATTTTTAAGAGGTAAATTTCTAGTTGAAATTGAATACCGCCAGAGTATGAGAAGAAACGGTGTAAAAAAGAACCATATAGTTCAACGTTACCTGTTCATCAAAGGGGCTGAGTATTGACAGTGACTTGTCCCCGCTGTGCGTGGAACTGGTCGTATTGCTTCTTCTTCTAACTTCGTCTTCCATGCCGTTGATATTTCTGTCCACCTGTCCATTGCTGCTTAAGTTCGTGTTGGTGATAGTCGGCGGGTCTGTAGGAGAGGCGTCGTACACTGATTTCAGTTTCCGCAACGTCTTCGGTCTTTCGGCTGGCATCGGCCGAAGACCGATGCCGTCGAGAGTTGTAGTCGAGCCTTTGAAGAGGCCTGTAACAAAGAAAAATCATTAATCTCAGAAAGTATTTCATTAAGACTAATAGGAAAAAAGGATTTACTTTTACTATTTAATAAATTAAAAATTAATGGCTATCAAAAAAAAATAAAAATGTAATATTTTTGAATTAATAAATGTTCACAAATGTCAGTAATAATTAAAGGTTTTGCTCTCGCAGATGTTTGCAGTTACAGGTAGTAACAAACAGGTGAAGGGTTTAAAAATAAACGCAGGTGCAAAACGCTCTTAAGGTAGTAATTGTAAGACCAATTTGCAGAAACCTGACACGCTATCATTTCCAGAACAGCAACCTTGTCGACAGTGAAAACCGTCACTTATAATTCCAATGTGTTATGTTCTTAACGTTTGATTATACGCATATGTGAAAAACGACAACTACGATAATACACAAGACTTGCAACACAATCCAAAAACACGTGTTTTAAAAACAAATGCTACAATATAAAAAAAAAACTATGAAATGTTAAATTTAAAAATAAGAATATAAATGGACAGTAACAAAAAACGAGTAATATACAAAAGCAACATTAAAAATTCAGGTCAGTGAAACGGAACGCAAATGATTGCTCCGCGTTATAAACATTTGGTGCGCTGTTGTTTAGAGAAAAAAACTGAATCTCAAGAAAAGTGAAAACGGGTTTGCTAACATCCGTGTCAAGGTTCAAGTGAATTAAGATAGATTAAATTTATATCTGTATTTCACAACTAATTTATTAGCACAAAATACACGAATTAGAACAACAAAATTTATAAAGACCCCAAATTAAATTCTACAGATTTTGCATATGGTCGTCAGAAATCTAGAGATACATAAAATTCAAACAAAATGTGTGATTTTATCACTAATACCTCTGTTAAGCAGTTTTGTTTATTTCTATTTAATAATCATAGTATAAAATGTTTTATTGTAGACAGCTAAATTAGAGATCTTGTTGATATCGTCCAACATTGGATCATCGGTTTGAAATAGCATATCGCAATCGGAAGCTGAGATATAATTTTGTAACAGATTTAACCGTTAGATAAAGACTTAACTGCCATCATAAATTACACTAAAGTAAGCTATATTCCTTTATAATAAGGATTGAATTGCATTCGTTTGATATATAAAGTTATACCACTGGAATGTGTGACATTTTTCGCTCAGTCAGTCACATATCGTTACGACGCCAGTAGTTTTGTCTCATAAATAATATTTATATTGATTAATTTGGTTTTAATTTAGTTTTCGCTTCAGTTCTAGCGTTCCATATAAATTACAAAAAGGAATTGGCATACAAAATTTCCATTCATATTTCTAAATGGTAAAGTAACCTCTATGACACTATTTAACTACGTAGAACACGAAAACTTGAAACATAATGATGGACATAGGGGTCGATAGCCGATGAACTAGAATTGGTCTGAGGGAGCAGTTACCATTATTCTTATTTGAAGTACTTTACATTCACAAGCCCCTGACGACGCCTCTAATAGACGTTATGGTATACATATAAAGATATTTAAATCTCCTTACTACCACTCCATGTAAGTTACTCGAGACCTTATAACAGGATGTCATCATCAATTCTATTAGCATAGTAAAGAGCCGCCATTTGTTCTTATAGTTCAATCTTCGACGCACAATGAGCGTTCACGGCTCCATTTATTACCATCAAATTGGTTCAAATGGTGTTGCTTTCCGGTTCTCGTAAGAAAGTATTATAGTGTTGATTTTAAACATTTTATAGTTTGAAGAATAGCTGTTAGATTTTAGAATCTTTCAACGCTTTGCGTAATTTTTTATGTGGACACACTACCGTTTAAGTAACCATTAACATCACCGAGTGCAGTTTCTCAATAGAATTTAAACAATATATTTATTTCTTTATTTAATTTATCTTGATTCATACTAAAAGATACAATTTACATCTTCATCCAATTGTCTCTGATATTTTAAGATTAAATAGGTTAATTTTTTGGTGCAAGTTTAGGACTAACAACTAACTTCTTACTAATATTAAAAATGCGTAAGTTTCTATTTTGGTAATGTTTATTAGAAGGTTTGGCGACTTCCTGAGTTTTTTTAAATTCCGAGCGGGCGAAGTCGCGAGCAAAAGCTAGTCTATACTAATATAATAAAGCGTAAACACACTAATTTGTGGCGTAGGTTATCAGCAATCACAGCATATTTTTTAATGTTTCTTTCTTTAATAAAAAGTCATTCACTTACGACACGCTTTAGGCTTTTTATTTTCACGCTATTAAATTTAGGGTATAAATAAATTGATAAAACACTTTCTTGTGGGAAAGGTACCATAAACTACAAGCTGCCAATATTAAGGAAGCAAGGTTATTATGGTAACGATAATTTTGAAATTTGATATTAAGAAGTTGAAAAATGTAAACAATAAAAAAAATTATAATTACACGCGGATGAAGCCGCACGGGAACAGCTAGTTTGACATAAAATGTATGAGTTATTGCAACACATTTTAAACAACCTCTTATACGGGCTCTTTGTATTCCCAACACAAATAGATACAAAATAAGAAACTTTGTAACAGGAAAAAAAATTTAATACACCCAAATGTCGACATCGTTTAACATAAAGTGCAGCTGCATTTTGAACGATAAGTATACTTTAGACTTTATTGTAATATGAATAGAGTTTAAATTTCTTTTTCTATTATTAACAGACAGTAGTTGCTACCGTAAACAATGGTGTTGGAAACAATAGTGCATTGTGGGCATCACGACAAGTTAGTGATGTTCCTTCATCTGATACTACGATAAAAGATACCTTAAGGTATAGTATTACTGAACAATATGAATAACACTTTACAATACAAGATGGCAAAAGAAAATCTAACAGAAACAGTTGCAATAAAAGAAAAGTTGTCCGAAATCCTTTTAGCTACCTTCTCGTCTAAGTTCTGTCAAAATGTGTACAGCCGTTTGTGAGATAGCGGTCGTCCGCGATTTTGATATCGAAATGCCCGCTGCCCAAACCGTAAACAGTTAATATGGAAATTTATAACCTAAAAAGATAGAGCTCATCTTTTTAGGTCACATATGGTAGCAAATTTTTACATGATAACTTTAGTAAATTTAGTGGTTTTAATTCCACGAAGGGGTGTAACAATGTTTGCTTTTTATCTTTCTAATAAAGATTAGATCAAAACATTAATTATGAAAATAAACGTATTTATAACTTAATTAATAATTTCTTTGAATAATCATCATATAAACTACTGAAACATTTTTATAGTATTCGAGTAAATTGTACGAGTGTGGGAAATAACGACATAAAACTACGCAGTATTAGATTAAACGAATCATTTAAAAGTACTTGTACACTGAGACATGATACGTCATTTGTAATTGGATCATTAAATATCGTATTCAGAAACAAGAAAGAAAAGATATCTTATGTCAAATATTCACATCAGGGAAGAAAGAAAATTTCATAATTTCATCACGGCACTTATAGAATGAGTCGGTTCATTCATGAAACTACTACAATTTGACATTATCTGTGTGTTTTTGATTTATTACAAGATAAAGTTAACAAATGTATTGAACAATCATCGATATGAGTAAACCGGAACAGAATAAAACTCTATGACTAAAAAACTGACTCAAAACAAAAAAGCAAGGAAACGTTAACGTTTAGTTTTTAATTTTACAAAACAGACAGTACGTGTAAATATGAGAATGTGTCACTTACAGTTTCCCATCAGTGTGTCGATCGTAAAACATACGAAGTAACCTCATCGACGTCATCTCTACATTAGTCACACTTATTTCTAAACACCATACACGTAATTTACAATTTTTATTCACACATTTCGTATCGATATATCAAATCGATAAACAAAACATCACTAAACAATACAGATACTACACGATATACATCAGTTCAACAAAATAGAAATGAACTTTAAGATATTAAAGATTAAATAAAAGTTGGAGACGAACAAAATACGAACACTCGATTAGGCGTACGCGCAACAACTGGCAAAGCGAATTGCAAAGTGAAGTAATATTGATAAGGCGGTGAACGTCACATTTCGTCGGACAATTTATTAGACTGCATCAATTTAGTCATGAAGACAATTGACACGAGGCTTTCGACGCGACGGAAATTGGGGAACGAGACGATTGCTTCTGACCGAGGATACACAACGACTAAGTGGGTAACTAAATAAAAGAATGCATTCTTATTGTTCGGACAGTTGATAAGAGATAGCTTACAAGGTTGTAAAGATAAGAAACGCTGTCATTTTCAAGTTTACGTCGTTTGTCCCTTATCATTTTGGTGTAATTGCAAAAATTAGGAACGTTAAAATTTCAAGACCCTTTTTTGCCACTTGGACAAACGCTAATTTTATAATTTAGAAACTCACGCAAAATACGCGCTAGTCGTGGAGTTGCGGAAACCGTAGCCCCTACTACTACTACTAATTTAGAAACAAATAACTTAATTTAAAAAGCAATATTAAAAGCAATTTAACAATCATATAAAAACACAAACAACACTTCACCAAACCCTATTGGAATACTCGATTTCGAAGAACGGATCGACTAAAAGAGTTTTTTAATCCTCATTATGACCGGAAATTTAACGCTTTTACCATTATGCTTCATTACAGAACATTGACCATCAAATACTTAGAGCACGTAATATCCGTGAGAGCCATAAACAAGACTAATAAATCTACTGCGGTGTTTAACGTTTACCATAACTTCATCTAGTCGGCGTTCAGTTTGATATGTAAATCCCAACTGGTTGGAACAAGTCTTAATGCATCTTCTAAGTAAGAGTTATTATTATGACCTAAATACGTACTGACAGATTGTAGATCAAAGTAACTTAGCTCATCTACTTTTAAATTAAACTTTGTTAATTACTTAATACTGTATTAGGAAAGGAAATGACTTCATGAGTTTACTTAGAAGTGTAATAGATTGGAATATCCGTATAAAACAG